AGGGGCACATCCACACCACGAGGTGCACATCCACACCACGAGGTGCACATCCACACCACGAGGTGCACATCCAGATCACAAGGTGCACATCCACACCACAAGGTGCACATTCACATAAGAAGTGCTGCTTAGTCTTGTACTGAAAATGTGGCCATGAAGGGATGACCAGCCTTGAATGTGAGTCTCAAAACTGACTTGCTCTTTCTCGATTACTTCAGTTATGAGAGAATTCTTGCAGAGTTGTGATGTGATCTCTTCCTTCTAGATTTCTCTCCCATCCAGATCCTTGTCCCCTGTGAGCGCATGTTGAGTGGCCTCTGAGGACTGTGGCGGCCCTTCTGTGTCATCCAGGTCCCTGTTCAGGTCCACTAGAATAAGGGCGCTATGTGGGTAGATCCCAGCTAATGTTGGGATAGTTGTCAAAGATGAATGTTGTTATCTGCTCTTTTCTTTTGCAGTTTTTGGCTGGGGCCCCCAATATATGGGGCCAGTACCCAACTCCTTTGAGCCACAGGCACCGCCCTGTTATCTGTTCATTTTAAGTGAGCTGTCCTGCCTTCATTAAAAGCACTGTGAATTTCCTGTGAAAGAAAAACATTATTCATTTGCAGACTTCTTGTAGGGACCTTCCATAAATGCCTCTGCTTCTATACTTAAGTCAAGAACCTGAGCCTTACTAATAGCTAACATTTATGGAGTGTGTGCCCCTCATATTCTAAGTGTTTTCAAGTATTAGCAACACTTCATGAATCAGTATTTCTTTCACAATATATAGGGAATGTGAAAAGACTGCATTTCTTTTTCCTAGTATTCTATTTCTCAGATTATTTTTCAGTAATTCAGATAGATTATTCCTTCAGATTGTATGGCATTAATGCAGCAACTCAGCAATTCAGCATCCCAGCAGGACCTGCCCTTTCAGCCCGCTCAGCCAGAGGGTTGGCCTGCACTGTGTGTTGAGCGGGGACAGTGCACTCATCACGTGTGGTGTGTGTGGTTTTTCTCTAGGATCATCCATGAAGATGGCTTCTCTGGAGAAGACGTGAAACAGTACAAGCCTGTTGTCTACAGCAACACCATCCAGTCCCTGGCAGCCATTGTCCGGGCCATGGACACTTTGGGCATCGAATATGGTGACAAGGAGAGAAAGGTAGGCCCCTGAGCCCATGGGCACAGCCAAAAGAGGGCCTGTCTCTGTTACCACACTGCCTCCTCTTTGCAATGCCAGCTGCCTTAAAGGAACTGGAAGAGACTGTGTTATATATAGGAGATATATGGTGGCAGGGTTGCCAACCTAAGCCGTTGTACGCATCTACCTGGCAAACCCTCATGGCAAAGTCACCAACCAAGGCAACGGCTGTAGAAGGCCAGGGTGGACTGTGCTGCTGAGAAAGTGTTGGTAACTGTTCCAAATTGGGGCTGCCACAATACTGTATAAGTATCTGTCCTTTAGCAGTTAACCTGAACAGAAAAAAAAATCTATTAAAACAGGCCTTCCCTGCCTACCCTTGCCCCTCCTTAGAAGAACTTCCCTTGCCTCATTGGGAGTGGGCAGCAGCAATCTGAGTTGACTGTCTCTCATCCTTTCTACCATGGCCTGTCTTTTCTGCCTCTCCTGGGCAAGTCTAAGGACTTAAGGGGTTCTCTTTCCCGTGGGAAGTCAGTGTCCTAGAATAGGGACTTTTTTTTTCATTGGGTTTCCAGGCATCCAATGCATAGTGAAGGGAATAAGTACTATACAAAAGCTTCTTTGCAAACATTTACTTTAACTTTAAGACTGAACTGTATACACCCCCACTGGCAAAGCTAAATAGAAGGGGGGAGGGAGACGAGAAAACAGCCTCAGAGAATTCTATCCAAAAGCAGCTTCCTGTTCCCTGTTGGGATCGTGAATCCCGGTGATCCTCCCTCTGGGACCTAGAGTGTGGGAAAGGGGAACAGGTAGAGGCTCAAGCACCTGCCCCCCCCCGCTTTGGAGCCTGGGATAGAGAGCCTTAATCTCCGACTGCTATATGATTCGATTGTACATTACACGCATATCCTGTCTTTGCTAATCATTTCCCTCACAGGAAAATTATCATGGTTGTCTCTGGGTCTGATAAATCATCTGTGACACATAGCTTTAAATGTAAAATTTAATATCTTATGCACAAAATCCTAATTCCATGGGGCAGAGCCTTGGGGAATTTGGTGATGGCCTAGGGTGGGGAAATGGGCACTAGCGAATCTTGGGCCCATCTGTTGCCCCTCAGAGAGGCCAGATCAGTGAACTGGTTCTATAGAGGAAGAGCTTCTCCCCAGGAAACTGGCTTTAAATTCAGTCAAAGGCCAGGGTCTGTGAAAAGAGGGAAGGGAATGAAGGGTGCTGTTCTCTGGTCTTACTTTCATTAAGCGTTCACTGTAGGTTTACAGTGTGCCAGGCAGTGTGCCAGGTGCTGGGACACAGGAATGAGCACAGCAGAGATTGGTGTCTGGAGACACCAAACACTCTAAAAACACCTACTCAGATCATCAGAATTAGCCCACATGAGCACAGTGCATCATTCATCTTAATAATAATAGTAATAGCAACTAGGAATAAGCATAGCTATTGTTGGTTGAGCACCTACTCAGGGCCAGGCACTGTGCTAAGCATTCTCCATGGATTAACTCATTAACTTGGGTGTTAAAGCCCAGAGCCAGTCTGATCTTCAGGCAAGACACAAACCCAAGGTCTTTGGTCTCTTTGTCTCCCTTTGTCCAAAGAGGGAGCAGAATCCCTGAATCTCAGTTAACCAGGTGGCAGACACAGTGCAAAAGACTCACCTCCTATATGCCCAGGGCATGCGAGTTCTTCCCAAAGTGTATGTGTTTGTGACCATCCCCACGACCCAACCAACTCTTCTTCCCAAAAATGTCCTATCCAGATTATAGCCCACTGTGATTTTGGAATGCTTTTCTCCTTTTGTTTTGGAAAACATTCATAGTTCCTATGGGATTTTTTTTTCCATTTTATTATCCTGAATGGATATATTCTGAATGATTCCTTGGGAATTGCTAGGACTGTGATATGTTGAGGACTATACTGCAGGCCCCTGGGAAACAGGACCCTTCACTGGCTATTTCTTCCCCACAGGATTTCCTGGTCTGTCAGCCCTCAGATAGGAGGGAGGGGAAAGGGAAGGAGAGACTGAGAGCAAATGGGGACTCCCTGGAGGGCTGACTGGACACAGCAGAGGCCAAGGCCAGTCCTGTTATGGCTGGTGACACCGTGGCAGGCACTTGGCCCACCCCCAGGGCAGCACAGGCTTATCACATGTGATCTTCCTGGCTGCCAGAGACCTCCCATGCACTTGGGCAATCCCTTCATTTTTTCTTATGCCTGTGAGAAGCAGGAAAGGTAAGTGGACCCAAGACTCAGGCCAGAGTGAGCAGGCAGCTGAAGAAGGTATTTCCTGGGCACAGTCTGCAGGCTGGCAGAAGAGAGTGCAGTGATTCTCCCCTCCTGAGGTGGACACACAAGGCCTGAACAGGCGTAGCCTCTGGTGTGGGGAGGCAGCTGGGGCTGGGATCCTTTCCTTCCCTTGTTTGGTGGGAACTTCCCATGTAGAGGTGCAAGATGAGTCAACAAATAGCTGACTGCTTAATCCCAGATAACAATAGAGACAGGGAGTAAGTAAACAGGAGGAGGTGAGAGAGGCTGGTTTGGAAGGAGGGTGCAGCTAAAGTGGGTAGCTGTGGGAGGAAGAGGGGACAGAAAGTTCGGAACAAGCACCAAGGCTGCAAGGGAGGAATAGGCCTGGCCTGTGGAAGAAGATAAAGCTCTGTCCAGCCTGAGCTCTCGCAGGTAGTCCACTGTCAACATCCACATGCCCTGACCCCTGGGCTGGGTCCAGATTCTTTCCTCTCTCAGGTCCCCAGAGGCTGCCCACCTAGGGGGATGTGCTTTGGGATGTTGAAGTGTTTCGGTCTCTAAAGAATAAAGATTTTCCTCCCTCTTTTGTCTTCCTCACCCATAATTCAATTCTGATACTGCTTACCTTGAGATAGTATCAGATCCCACAGGGTGAGGGCTCAGTCCCCAAGATGGGCCCCACACTCCCCTACATCAGTCACAAGTCTGGGACACCAAAGCTTCTGCCTCCATCTTCACGTTGGGGTCCCTGTGATGCTCTTCCTCTTTGGTTCAAGTAATTTGCTGGAGTAGCTCAGAGAAACACATTTACTGATTTCTTGTAACAGATACCACAAAGAGTACAAATAAAGAGATATATAGGGTGATGTATGGTGGGGGGCGCAGAGCTTCCGTGCTCTCCTTGGGCATCACCCTTCAGCATCCTTCTCAGCTATCCAGAAGCTCCCTGAACCTCATTCCCTTGGGTTTTGATGGAGGTGTCATTACACAGGCGTGACTGACAACACTGTAGAAATGTGATTGGTCAAAAATCATAGGATCTAAACCCAGATTCTGCCTGGCATGTGTGTGCAGCATTCCTCCAGGGTATGGGGCAGGACCCTCTCTGGAATGAAGATCTTTTGACCCACAAATCAGAATTAGAGTCCTGTGTAAGGACTGGAGAAGGTCAGAGAGAGAGATTCTATCTCCTGAGGCCTGAAGTGGCCCACCGTTAAAACAACAACTATAGGAGTTACAAAATTCCATGGAAACTGTGAGTGAAAACCAATATATATACATGTACCAACTTCACGAACCCCTTCATAATTAAGGTCTTCTAACCAAGGCCCATGTCATTTATCTTTGGGTCACCTCCTAACCCAAGCAACCAGCAAAAGCACTCAGCACTTAGTAGGTCTTTAGAACACTTCCCTTTAATGGAATGACATTTCTTTCTTTTCTTTCTTTCTCTTCCTTCCTCTCTTCTTTCTTTTTCTCTCTCTCTCCTTCTCCTGTCTCCTTCTTCTCTCTCTCCCTCTCCTCTTCTTCTCTCTCCCTCTCCTCTCCCTCTCTTCTGGCCTATGGAAGAAAATAAAGCTCTGACCAGCCTAAGTTTCTGCAGGTAGTCCATTGTCAACACCCAGATGCCCTGACCCCCAGCAAGGTCCAAATTCTTTCCTCTCTCAGTGCGCAGAGACTGCCCACTTAGGGGGATATGCTCCTCTTCCTCTCTCTCCCTCTCCCTCCTTCTCTCTCCCTCCCTCCCTTTTCCTCCCTCTCCTCTCCTTCCTCCCTTCTCCTTCCTTTCCCTCTTTCTCCCCCTCCCCCTCTCTCCCTCTCTGTCTCTTTCCCTATCCCCCCATAGAGTCTTTCTCTCTTGCCCAGGCCAGAGTGCAGTGACACCATCATAGCTCACTGCAACCTTAAATTCCTGGGCTCAAGGGATCCTCCCACCTCAGCTTCCTAAGTAGCAAGGACTACAACCATGTACCACCACACCCAGCTAATTTTTCTACTTTTTGTGGAGATGGGGTGGGGGGGGTCTCACTATATTGCTCAGGCTAATCTTAAACTCCTGGCCTCAAGCGATCCTCCTGCATCAGCCTCTCCAAGTGCCAGGACTACAGACATGAACCCCCATGTCTAGCCTGGAATGACAGTTCTGACTTTCCCAGTTCTCAGAGACAAAAAGAAGTACCTGTAACTGAATCACTGCATGAACAGCTATTAACTGAGTACCTACTGTGTTTAGGCTTTGTGAAGGTTCAAAGGCCTATGAGTTAGGGCCTGTGAGGAGCTGGTCATTTTCTTGGGAAGATAGAGTCACAGGCTGAATGAGCACAACCTTCCTGAAGGTGGTTAGGGAAAGCTGCTTAGAGGAAGTGAGGCTGGACCTATCCTTGAACCACAGATATGCTTTGACAGGTGCAGGTGAGGGTGAGGAATGGCACTTGACACCAGGAAAGAACAGAAGGAAAGGCAGTGGTTGGTAATGACCAGAGGAGACTTGGTTGGTGGAGGATGCCAGAGGCCAGCACAGAGGGTTGGGGCGTGAGCCAGATATGGGAAAGCCAGAAGGTCCAGTTAGGTACAGATTTGGTGGGCTTTGGAAGGTATGCCAAGGAGTTTGGGTTCCATCCTGTTGGCAATAGATTTTGAGCTAGGAAGGGATGGGATGAAAGAGAGATTTTAGGAAATTATTATTGTGACATGTGTAGAGAGACTAAAGGTGAGGAGGCAAGTTAGGAAGCTACAGTAGTAAGGGGTCCAGAAGG